TAAATCTACAAGAAGGGTGAAATACATTGGAACTTTTGGTGCAAGGGCAGGAGCGGGCCTAGCATTAGGGCAGCTAGGGTCATGGCCCAAGTTGCACAGGAGCAACGCTTCAGTTTTTGGCCCATCAATGGATCAGCCCAACAACACGGCCGGCGAAGCCTTCGCTCGACGCAACCCTCGCTCGTTCTCTCGAGTCGCCAAAGCCATATTCAAACTAGAAGAAAATATGGTAAAGCACAGGACGCCTACTCTTTCTGGTTATTGTCTCGTGAGGGCGTATATGTGCCTCTATATTTCAATTCTCCCCCATCCTGGCGGAGCTAGAGAATTGTGGAGGGGGGTGCGGCTTGCGGTCTAACGATAGAACACTAATGCAACTCAATAGCACCAAGCACCATCAGCCTGTTCGCTTGCTCGTAAACGATCGTAAATTTCCAGCCGGGAACAGTGTTTTTCTCTCACACCAAACCAGCCAGCAGTAAATAATCCACGATACGATTCGGCCTCCCGAACAGGCTGAATAGCCATAATTTTAGCATGAATAGTTTAAAACAAGCAATATTGATGTAGATCAACAATGAAGTAGCGGTAATAATATATTTGTGCTTACCATTTATCAAAATACAGTGAGCAAATCCCACAATTATAACAACAAAAGATTGTCGGCGTTGGCAAAATACAATCCTTAACCACAAAATCTTTACTGAAAAAGAAATAAACCATTCATTGTAAGAAACAATGTATATAATGTATCATTGAAAAATTGAAAAGAGGTGCATTACCTCTTATAGATCAAATCTACGCCCTTTTCCTTCTATGTTCATGAAGCGATGAACCACAGCATCATTGGTAACATTCTTTTCTTTCTCCACATAGCAAATAAGTCTATTACTCAAGTGTGCATCACCCATGCGGTTACTAAGAGTTGTTTACACAATCTTCATCCTCGAAAATATTCTCTCCACTATTGCAGTAGCAATTGGCGATACCAGCACAAATTTCAAAAGTCGATAAACCAATGGATAACAAAGTTTTTTTTGTCTCCATCATTCTTTGTGAAAGTTCACTGATAGTATTATGTTGGAGAATCGATTGTCTTCTCTCACATCAGCGATGTAGAGGCCAAGGTAGTGGCTAAGATCCCTCACATCATCAAAAACCTTTCCATGTTTTTCCTAGCATCCACAAGAGTATTTAAATTTTAGTTACTTTGATTGCTTTTATAAATATCAATAATCAAATATCATAGGAAGAACAAAAAAAAATCATAACCCTAGAATCTGTACAAAGTACCAAGGCTGCAAGAGAAAAGACAGGAATTACAAAATTAAAATCATTGGATGGTCAATTTGATGGAAACTGAAACTCTAAAAGAATGAAGAAGAGACTTTTCCCTGTGTGCCATTATAAAAGACCTTAATCCCCTGTGTGCCCCTGGAAAAATTCAGCGGTCTTCAGCGCCACTACTCCAACTTTTTCAGGTCTTCCATGCCACTTCCGTCAGTCCAGGCTCTAACGCCGTCAAACTGCAGGTGTGAAAAGACGAAAATGCCCTTAAGTTCAAATATGTTATTAATTTTTTTTGAGCATCTTAACGACTTCAAATGAAAAAACTCAAAACTAGAAAGTTGTAGATCTCGTCGAGATCTATAATTTTCATATAAAAATATTTTCATTTAATTCCGCAAAAAAAAATATGATTTGATATGATTAATATATCTTAGAAAAATCATCATATTTTTTTTTCGGAATTAAATGAAAATAATTTTTATATGAAAATTATAGATCTCGACAAGATCTACAACTTTCTAGTTTTGAGTTTTTTCATTTGAAGTCGTTAAGATGCTCAAAAAAATTAATAACATATTTGAACTTAAGGGCATTTTCGTCTTTTCACACCTGTACTTTGACGGCGTTAGAGCCTGAACTAACGGAAGTGGCATGGAGGACCCGAAAAAATTGAAGTAGTGACGCTGAAGACCGTTGAATTTTTCCAGAGGTACAGAGAAGATTACGATCTTTTATAATGACACACAAGTAAAAGTCTCAATGAAAAATATTTGAAGTTGCCTACTCTGTGAAAGGATGGCCACGAAGAGGAGAGAGGCGTGCTGACTGCTGAGTACGCTGCTGCTTGCTGCCTTGCTGCGCTCCTGGTGGCTGCCTGGGCGCAGGGCGCTGGCCGCTGCGCCCTGCTGCTTGCGACGGCCAGCCGCGATCGTCAGATTCGGAGAAGCCGAGAAGGCGGAGCGACGAACGACACAGAAGGCCGCGGGAGCCGGGATAGGAGTAGGAGGCGTGCAGTCGAAGCGTCCGCAAGCCTGTTGCGTACAATTGGGCGGTCGGCCAGGGTGCGTGCGTTGCTGCTGCTGGCTGCTGGGCTGCCGAGTTGCAAGGAGCTGTGGGCTCTTTCCAGTTGGGCCCTGTTTAGTTTCCTCTCAAAATATCAAATTTTTTAAGATTTTCCGTCACATCGAATCTTTAAACGCATGCATGAAGCATTAAATATAAATAAAACATAAAACTAATTACACAGTTTAGACGAAAGCCACGAGACGAATCTTTTAAGTCTAATTAGACTATGATTGAACACTAATTGCTAAATAATAACAAAAACACTACAGTGTTATTTTACCAAAAATTTCGGCAATCAAACTAGCCCTTGAGCTGTGGGTGCAGGCATTTGGGCCAGGGGGGTGCGAATACAGAAAAAATTTGCACCCAGTAAACACAACATGGATCCGCCCGCGGGACTGAAGAAAGGCTCAAGAGGATGATGCGCTCTAGCATTTTTTTAAGTCAACGAACGAATAGTATTTTTTCTCACAATAAATTAGTCAGTACCTTCAGTTGTGGCTTATCAGCCAAGCGAACAGGGCGTCTGTTTCTGGTGACAGATGTTTCACTTTCACCATCCGCATTGAACTCCCCGTCTAGGCATCTAACAGCATATTCGCTTGGTCGTATTTGGCTTATAAGCCATGGCTTATCAGCCAACGAACAGTATTTTTTTCTCACACCAAACTAGTCAACAATACTTTCGGTCATAGTTTAGAAGACAAACAAATCCAAACGAACATGACGCCAAATTCCAAGCCATTCCATTTAGAAAATGATCCCGTTAATCTTTAGAAATCTTATTTATTTATTATATCCATTGTCCATCTCCATCTGCATCATTCTGTACGTCCTGGACCATCTGGTGCTCACATGGTGCTATGGGCTAGATGGGCCCTTCAAAATATTCCTAGGTCAAGGGTCTAAAGCCCATCTGTGATTCGTTGATGTTTTTTCTTGTTTTCTTTTTCTTTTGGCGATGATTTGCTGATGTGTTATGTCACCGCTAATGACCATTTTCAGAGCTACGAATGAAAAAAAATTAGAGCAAGATGATGCGACAACCTTAAATGAAATGTTGTGTTCACTTATATAACTAATTAGTACAACATCTGACTTAACCTACATATGTTAGTTTTTTTTAATACTTCAACACGGGTGTCCATCTGCCCACGTCCATTCGAACACGGTTTCCCACTCCGCCTCACCCGCCACTCTCCAGAAAATAAAATCCCCCCACTCTGTCTCTCGCCCTCCCCATCTCTCGGTCTCTTCTCGCGCCCGTTGGCAGCAGCAGAGCCCCGTGCCGCCACCGCTACCACCTTCCTGCACCTAAGCCAACCACGCCGCCTCCTCCCTCGGTTTGCGTAGTGCCTCCCCGGCCTATCCCCCAACCTAGCACCGTCGAGATGCCTCGCCGTCGCTGCCCCTACTGGTGGCGACTGGGCGCATGTGCTGGGGCGCGTCAGGTCATCCCCGGCCGAGCCAAGGGCACCCACGAGCGCAGGCGGTGCTGGTGGTGCTCACGCGCCACCGCTCGCCGCCGGCTCCCACCATGACAGCCAGAATCGATCGACCCCTGCCTCTCTCTCCCTATGTTGCAAATGCTTGTTTCATATGTTTTAGATATATGTTGCAAGTGGTTCATATATATATATTGCAAAAGTAGATCGAGATGTTGCAAGTGTTTCAAAGACATGTTGCAAGCATTTGTTGAAAATGTTTCATCTGTTTTTAGACTATGTTGCAAGCGTTTTGATATGGATGTTGCATATGTTTCACACATATGTTCAAAATGTTATAGTTGTTTCAGTCTTATGTTGCAGCAAGTATTTTCACGTTACAAGATGCAAGCGTTTTATCTAGATGTTACATATGTTTTCACACATATATTTCAAGTGTATGTTATAAATGTTTCATATCCTTTAGATATATGTTGCATTCAAGTGTTTTATGTTCAGAGAGAGTCATTGGGGAACGGCCCGAGTGTCGGAGATGCAGCGTGCTGGTAGCCTGCGGACGGGGCATGCTCGTCCTCATCCCGACTCCTAAGTCCTACCCGTGCGGAGAGCGATGAGGGGGTCAGGGGAAGGAGCTGCGGGTGCGGCGTTTCCCGCGGGCGTCCGGACTCACGGAGAAAGAGGAGGGGGTCATGGGGAAGGAATGGTTGGCACGACGTTTTCCCCGTGGGCATACGTGACAGAGGAGGCACGAGCATCCGGATGCGCGCTTTTGTCGGACGTCCGGGCGCTAGTATCCCCTTTGTGTGTGGTGGGGTGGGGTGTGGGGGATAAGGTTTTCTGAGTTAGTACATGGAAACAAACAGTGGTATGAGAGTAGGATTGGAAATAATAAACAGGGACATATATAATATAAATAAATGGTTGACGCTAACATAAATCTGGAAGAGAGATCACGGAGCAGCAGTATGACAGAATTATCTGGGCCGGCCTTTTGCTACTCCAGCAACCTTTTCTACCACACCTCACACCGCCAGCACCTCTTTTTCTATCCCTTTCCCTCTTGTGTTGTGGGCTGGGAGTGGGTCCCCCTCTCTCTCATCACCCTCCTTCGACTGGAAGGAAAAGGAAAAAACCTCTCTCTCTCTCTCTTTCTTTCTTTCTTTCCCAGCTCTCTCTCTGCCTCTCCACCCGGCCGCCACCATGTCAGGCCTCTACAGCCAGGGCTTCTCCCCTGCAAGAACCCTCTCCCCCCAGATTAGGAGCAACCCCGACGCTGACAGGTACTGATTTCTCACCCGGATTACTTGCTACCAACTCTTGATCCGACGATTGCTCCGTTTCCGCGCTTCCTTCCCTTCTCCCCCCCGCGATTGATTGGTGGTGCGGTGTGCTGACGGTACCGTCCCTGCTTGCTTCCTCCGCAGCCAGTACTTGGCCGAGCTTCTCGCGGAGCACCAGAAGCTGGGGCCCTTCATGCAGGTGCTGCCCATATGCAGCCGGTTGCTCAACCAAGGTGAGATCTTTTTTTTTTTTGATCCCTCGCTTGCTCACTGTTGCTTGCCGATTGGTGGCAAATCCTGTGCGCTTCAAGCTCAGAGGGGGTTTCTCTGCAATCGAGATTGGGGAATCGCCAGGCTTCAATGCTCGGGTGGCTGCCGATCTTTTTCTGCAGCTTTTATGCTGGTTGGGGATAGTAGAGTTGCCAAGCCGTCATCTTGATTTGTCTTCACTGGCGTAGAGCGATCCCTTTAGTCTTATTGTCCCTGTTTCGGGATTGGGTCGACCTTTAGGTGTTGTAGCGGATTGTTTTGATTCTCTTGCTACCAAGTTTGGTAATGAGTTCTTAGTTCATACTAGTTGATCCACCATCATTGATCAAGATGGCTGAAAACAGCATAGAGTCCATTGATCAGGGAAAGTTTATATAGGGGAGGCAATCAATTGTTCATTCCATCCTCGTGGCTTACATTGTGCATAGTAGAGTGATGACTTAGTTGGACTGCATTGCATATTGTTTCAATTTGAGGAAACCATCTGCAAGACTACACACTCTGCTATCTATAACCTTTTATTTGGCATGTTTCTTATCCTTTTTTTATGTGTGGTGCTATTATGACAACCTATGTTAAAACAATTTATTATTTCTTCTTTTCTGACTACTAACTCTGCTGATTTTCTTTTCTTCTGTCATTTGTGTCATGTAGAAATCATGCGGGTATCAAGCATGGTTCATGACCATGGATTTAGTGATCTTGACAGGCGCCGGTTTAGAAGCCCTAGTCCTATGTCTTCACCAATTGTCCGGCCTAATCTACATGGCAATGGATTTGGTCCTTGGAATGGGATGCACCAAGAGGTAGGTGTATAATATATTAATTGCTGAAATAAGCTTCCTTTTTTAACATGTTCTAATCCCTTCAGTAACCTTCATTTGTTATGCTATATTTTCATTGTTTTTGGAATTCCAATTCTTACAACATTCTGATGACGGATAAAATCATGAAGGCTATGATGCTCTATAGAATGTAATAAAAAAAAAACAAGCCCCGTAAATCTGCTCCCAATGGGAGTCGACCCGGGCCTGCTGGGTGCTACTAAGGCACTACAGCCATTAGGCTGCAGACCCGTATTGTTACAATGTTCTGTAGTGAAGATACTTGAGTCCTAGAGGGTGTGTCTATGTCATATATAGTAATGTCTACTTTTAATATAACAGAGATTGGGCCTTCCTCCTCCTGGAACAAGTATGGATTGGCAAGGAGCACCACCTAGTCCTGGCTCTTATATTGTCAAGAAGATCGTACGCTTGGAAGTTCCCGTCGACTCTTACCCTAATGTACTGCCTCCCGCAACCTGTGCAATTTATCCTTCAGCACTGAATGACATTTCTTTTCTAATATCTTCTATTTTAAATTTTCTCTAGTTCAACTTTGTGGGGCGCATTCTAGGCCCAAGGGGTAATTCTCTAAAGCGAGTCGAAGCATCAACTGGCTGCCGTGTTTTTATTAGAGGAAAGGGTTCCATCAAAGACACAGAAAAGGTAACCAAAATATTGTTTTGCTTAAGCGCACCACACTTGTATGTTTCTGTACTTATGCTATCTTAAATTTAGCAAGGTTTTATAGCTAGATAGGTGAAAGAACTCCTCTATTAAAGTATTGTCTGTCAAGAAACTCTACGAGCTGCATGCCACTTCAGATCTCTTGGTTGACTTCTAGTACTAACATTGTTCTACTAGTCTTGCTTTTGTCATTTCTGCAATAGACTAGACATCAGCATTCACGATCAGAAAACGGGAGCCAAGCCTTTTTTTTCCTTGACTTGATCAGAAAACACGAACCAAGCCCTTTTTTTTCCAGTTGGACTAACTCAGACAGTATAAGAACAAACATAATTTTGGACAGAGTGACAGAATAAATGAATGCTTACTTAGGCATCACTTGCTTTTTATTAGATTAGATCTTGTTGGCTTGGGACAGAGTGACAGAATGTCCTGCTCAAGATCCCGATCCCCCCTGCCCATGGGACCCTGAGAAAGAGCAGCATTGTGATGACTAAGGGCAGTAGGCCACTTACCTTAGGCAAATAATTTTAGGAGGAATTCTGCCATTTTTGCACTCTTCGTTTCTTTCTCTATCCTTCAGACAAAGCATCATTAGTTTGTCCATTTTTGTTTATGGCACAAATTCAAACCAAGGAGTGCTTCTATTCTGCGCTTATTGTTTTCTCGCTGTCACTAAATCAAAATATTTATGGCATAGAGCTTCAATGGATTGAAGCAAAAACTATGGGTCGCCTACTTATTTTTTTCTTAGAAGCTGGAGATAAGCCACGCAAAACAGGGCCGATCCTAGATACACAGCTGGACTCTCCCCACTTCTAACTTTTGGCGCTCCCTATCAACAGCAGCAGAAGCGCTGAAAAAGAATTGGTGTTTCGGAGGCTTGCTTCCAACTTGTTTGGGACTTAAAGGCTTTGTTGTTGTTGTTGTTGTTATTGTTGTTGTTTCGGAGGCTTGCTTGTTTTTTTTCTGCCTTAGGGCCAATCCTAGATACATCTGTATTGTGAATATCCAGTAACCCTACTAATGGTACGGATATTTTTGGTCAGTATCCAAGTCCAGATATTCAATGTCTGACACCGTATCCAAATCTAGATAATCAGAATCATATATGATGTCAATATCCATTCATATCGTATCCAACACAGCGACACTATCTGACAATATCTGTAACCAAATCTGAATTCGAGAAAAAAAATGACTATTTGAATTCGTATCCGTAGGTATCCATCTGTATCTGATCCATTTGCCCCCCTAGCTACTCAAGCCCTCTACCGAAGATGGCTTGAAGAATCACATCTATTTGCTGTTAGTTTCGCTCGCTATGCCATGACCTAGATTTTGGTAACTTCTCAAATAGTAACATTTGGTTATTCCTTATGGTCAGATATGTTCAATTACTGCAAATGAATTCCATGTGAAGTTTCAGCACTGCTTTGTTGTGTTTTCTTCTTGTTATGGACTGTGGATATGTTTTGGGATTCAGTCTGACCTCTTTAACTTATTCCCCTTACACCATTATTACAGCTATCAAGAAGTCATATTTCCCCTTCCTGTCATTCTCCGTAAGGGTACGCTTTTTTTTGTTGTTACTTCAGGAGGAGAAGCTTAAAGGAAAACCTGGGTATGAACATCTGAATGAGCCACTGCATATATTGATCGAGGCTGAGTTACCAGCAAATGTCATTGATACAAGACTGAGACAGGCACAAGAAGTCATGGAAGAATTGCTAAAGCCAGTGGTAAGTTCTTCTAGTGTACAATAAACTATACCGGGACACTCTTATGTCAAATACTGGGGCACTCTTATGTTAATTGGTCAATGCTGTGGAAAGATTACATGATCCATGTATTAAATCTAATAATGTTTGGATATTTATCACTTCAGGTATCTGTCTAACTCATTTTAGTTTGTAAATCACTACTCCCTCCATTCTCATATGAGAGGCGTATTGGTTCTAGAAAAGTTTTCGCATATGACAGGCGCATAAGGAGTGGACGCCTCGGTTCCGCATGCATGCATGTGAGTTTTCCAGAGGAAATAACTCTGACGCGTGCATGCAGCCCGTTTATCGATCGCAAGTCATTTACTTTCTTCCCAATGGCCAGATGCACTCATACTTAACTTGCTCTCAGTCGTACTGCTTCCCTTTCATACAGCCAGCTCTCGCTCTCAGCCATGGAGGAATTGTCGCTCTCGGACGCACTTCTATCTCTGCCCATCACTTCCATTACGGCATCGCTCAGCCCCTCACTGCCACCGGCACTAGACTCGGCCACCTCGCCAGAGTTCCTTCGTGGCCTCATTTGGGTTCTAGACTCCGAGGATGAGGCTAATGAGGATGTGCTTGTGGCCGAGATCGACGAAGTGGTTGCCGCAGCCGAGATCGATGAAGCAGTTGCCGGGGCCGAAACCAAGCTTGTCGTCGCGGCTGAGATCGACGAAGCAATTGCCGGGGCCGAAACTAGCAACGGTAAAGATGCATTAGACCATGAGGAGTGGCGCCGTCGTCGACGTCATTGGGATTCCGTGCTCTCGTTGTGGTCTCATACACGGGGAGTATACGTTAGGAGCTTGGATTTGTGGCTTCAAGGAGTTTTACTGCTGGTAATTTTCCTTAACATCAATGATCTAAAGATGGACGGCGACACCATAATGTTCCTAGAGAGACACCTCACACCCAATATGGGGGGGTGACCTTCATATATATAGCCAATATGGCTGGTTATACAAGGAATACAATCAAGTATACATAGCAAGTGCTAATTATAGCTAATCACACATAGACCTGCCTAATACCCACCCGCAGTCTAAGCGGGAGGATCCCGGACGCATAGACTAGACTTGAATTCAGTAAATAGCAGTACAGGAAGGCCCTTGGTCATGATGTCTGCGAACTGGTGAGAGGACGGCACATGAAGAACCCGAACTTGTTCCAAGGCGACCTTCTCACGGACGAAGTGGATGTCAATCTCAATGTGCTTCGTGCGACGATGATGAACGGGGTTGGTTGTCATGTAGACAGCGCTGACATTGTCGTAGTAGACAACCGTCGCCGAAGCAATGGAGACGTGGAGCCCCTACAGGAGCTGGCGCAACCAGCAACACTCGGCCACCACACGAGCAACAGCACGGTACTCTGCTTCTGCACTGGAGCGGGAGACCGTGGTCTGACGCTTGGAGGACCAAGAAATCGGATTGTTGCCGAGGTAGACACAATAGCCGGAGGTGGAGCGCCGAGAATCTAGGCAGCTAGCCCAATCGGCATCGGAGTAGGCGACCAGTGACTGAACAGGGCCAACACCGATGTGGAGGCCGGAGAGAGAGTGCCCTTCAGGTAGCGTAGAATCCGCTTGATCATCGAGAGGTGCGGCTCGCGGGGATCATGCATGAAGAGGCACACCTGTTGGACGGCGTATGCCAAGTCAGGACGAGTCAGCGTGAGGTACTGGAGCGCGCCAACAAGGCTCCGGTACGCGGACGGATCAGTAACAGGAGCACCGGCGGTTGCGGAGAGCTTGACATGAGTGTCAACAGGTGTCGACGTAGAGTGACACTCAGCCATGCCGGTGCGTTGAAGAAGCTCAACGGCGTACTGTCGCTGGGATAAGAACAAGCCGTCGGCGGAGCGAGTGACGGAGATGCCGAGGAAGTGATGGAGTGCGCCCAGGTCAGTCATGGCAAACTTAGAGTGGAGGCGCCCAATGATCTGCTGAAGAAATGCCATCAAGGACGCAGTAAGGACGATGTCGTCGACATACAGAAGCAGGTAGGCGATACTGGTCCCGTCTTTGTAGACAAAGAGGGAGGTGTCGGAAGTCGAGACGATGAAGTCGAGCTGGCGAATGTATGTCGCAAAACGCTGGTACTAGGCTCGGGGAGCCTGCTTCAGGCCGTAGAGGGAGCGCTGCAACAGACACACATGATTAGGAAAAACAGGGTCAACGAAGCCTGGGGGCTGCTGGCAGTAGACGGTCTTCTCCAGATGTCCATGGAGAAAAGCGTTCTTGACGTCTAGCTAATGAATAGGCTAGGCGCGTGAGGCAGCAATGCTGAGGACAGCTCGGATGGTTACTGGTTTGACCACCGGGCTGAATGTCTCGTCGTAGTCGATGCCGTGGCGCTGGGAGAAGCCACGAACCACCCAGCGAGCCTTATGGCGGGCGAGGGTACCGTTGGAGTGGTACTTGTGCTTGAATATCCACTTCCTGTGACCACGTTGGCGCCGGGTGGTCGGGGCACGAGGCGCCATGTCCCGTTGTCGATGAGCGCCTTGTACTCCTCAGCCATGGCCGCACGCCAGTTTGGATCAGCCAAACCGCTACGGTAGTTGGCGGGAAGCGGAGACGGAGTGGTTGTCGCAGAGAGCCCCACATACCGCACAACCGGTATGGCCCCGGACTGGGTCCGCGTGATGCGTCGTTCCTGCTGTACGGGAGGTGCTGGTGGAGCTGCGGGCACCTGTGGCTGCTGGACAGGAGCAGTAGTCTGCTGTACAGGGGCAGGAGGCTGCTGAATAGGCATAGGAGCCTGTTGGACAGGTGCAGGAGCCGGTCCTGGTGCTGTAGAGGACCCGTCATGCGCCCGGGGACGCCGGTTGTAGACAAGCCGAATGTCCCGAGCTGGTGGAGCGGCGTGAACAACAGCTGGAGCCGGGGCAGCCGTTGGAGGAGCAGCAGGTGGTGGATCGGGAGGTGGAAGAAAGCAAAGAATCTGGGACCGTGAAACAAGATCGCGGGGTTGTCGGGTCAGCTCCTCAATGAATCCTTGGTGTGGCTGCCCAACAGCAAAGTGGGCAAGGATGCAGACGACCAAACCTTTGTAGTACTGCAAGCAAAAAATCCATGTCGCTTGGCGAGGACACGGAGGGTAAAGCTCAGAAGGAAAACAAGTCTCATCGAAGACCACATGGCGAGAGATGATGGCTACTTTGAGTGCCATGTCGAGACAGCGGTACCCTTGTGGGAAGAGGGATAGCCGAGAAAAACACAATTTGTGGAAGCGGGGGGAGTTTGTAGCGAGCCATGGCAGTCAAGTTCGGATAACAAAGACACCCAAAGACACGTAAGTGGGAGTACTCGGGAGGTTTGTTGTGGAGGAGAGTATATGGAATGGTGTGGTGAACAGCAGAGCATGGACGCCTGTTCAGAAGGTATGTGGCTGTGGCGAGCGCCTTAGCCCAGTATTGAGCAAGCATGTGTGCATGGAGGAGCATCATGCGGCTGATGTTGTTCAATGTGTGAAGAAGGCGTTCAACCTTGCCATTTTGTGGGGAGGTATATGGACACGAGAGGCGTAAATGAATACCACGGGAAGCAAAGAGAGTATGGAGGGTATTGTTTACGAACTCAGTGCCGTTGTCGGCTTGGACAGCTTTGATGGCAAGGCTGAATTGAGTGTGGACATAATTGCAAAAATTTGTAATGTGTGGAGACTTCAGATTTGCGAGTGAGGGGAAAGGTCCAACAGAAATGAGTGAAATCATCAAGTAAAACGAGATAATATTGATACCCGGATACATTGGCAACCGGGGATGTCCATACATCACAATGAACAAGTTCAAAAGGCATGGAAGTATATGAACTGGAATCTGAAAAAGGAAGGCGCACATGTTTGCCAAGCTGACAAGAATGACATAGCAGGTGCTCTACTTTATTACAGGTGATGGATGCATTACGACGAAGAATGTCAATGGTGGCGGAGCTGGGATGACCAAGACGGTGATGCCAGAGGTCGGTGGAGATGGCAATGCTGGCGTGTGGAGCGGAAGACACAGCAGGGAAGGTGTAAAGGTCGCCAGCACTATTGCAGCGAAGCATCACGCGTCGGGTCGGGATATCCTTGACAGAAAAACCAAGAGCGTCAAATTCTATAGAGCAGTTGTTGTCCCTAGTAAATTGACGGACAAATAGCAGATTGCAGACTAGGAATGGGACAACTATGACATTATTAAGATGAAAATTTGACTCTGGTGTATGAAGAACAGACTCGCCACGACATAAAATAGGAAGAGTTTGACCATTGCCAACGGTAATGGAAGAGTAAGGAGGAGGATGGCGAGAAAGGAGTATACCATCCGAGGAGCTCATGTGGGAGGAGGCGTCGGAGTCCAGGACCCAGGGATGCTGGCCCTAGAGATGCATCTGATTGAGTGCAGCAACAAGATCATCCTGGTTCCACATGGGAGCCTGTTGGGAGACGTGGAGCGGCGCAAATGTCGTCGGGGGCTGCGTAGGCGTGAAAGCCGTGTGAGCCTGAGCCGTGTGAGCCTGAGGAGGAGGGGCGCCAAGCACGCTTGGGCGCCAGTAGCCCTGCTGAGCCGAAGGAGGGCCCTGTGGCGCCCATGGATTGTAGCAAATCCAGGGCCCCATGGGTCGGTATTGGCCATTGTGGCCAATGCCGCCGCTGCTACGCGTAGGGCCGTTGTTCCAGCCCACGACGCCGCCCTTGCCCTTGCCCTTGCCACCGCCGCCGCCCTTGTTGCTGCCGTAGCCGGTCACGTGTGGGTTGTGTACCTCCAGAGTTGGCTGTGGCAGCGAGAGCACGACACCCGCCCGGGCTGGTGCAGCCAGACCTCTGGCGGTGGTGAGGAGGGCGGTGCTGGCAACCGTCTTTTCGTCGTTGGCGAGACGGAGCTCCTTGAGTGCCAGCGTGTCATGGGCTCTGGCGAAAGTGGGAAGTACAGCAGAGTTGGCGATGTCGTCGGCGGTGTTGGAGAAGCGAGGATTGAGGCCACGCAGAAGGGCGAGGACGAGCTGCGAGTCCTGGACAGGATGGCCGACGTTGCGAAGAGCGGCGGCCTTGATCTTCAGCCGCTAGCAGTACGCCGAGATGGTGCTGTCACCTTGCACCATGGAGTGAAATTCGTTGAGGAGGAAGATGGCGCGCGGCTCCCGGTTGGCGCGGAAGATCCCTTCAATGGCCACCCACAGATCACGGGCGGTTGGATCGGCACCGTCCATGGCAAGGTCGAGGACGGAGTCGTTATGAGCGGCCGGAGATTCAGACCCGGACGCAAAGACGAGACTCGCAGCATCCCACCGAGGATCATCGGTCGAGGGGGAGCAGAGCCGTCGATGTCGCGAAAGCGAAGGCCGAACTTGCCGCTGACAAATGACTTGAAGAAGAACGCCCACTTGGAGTAGTTGGATTGAAGGTCCGGTAGTAATGGGGATGTGGGACTTGACATTGACTGTGGCGTAGTTGTGAGCCACGATCGGTGCAGCAGCGCCGGCGCTCATGGCAGGCATGGTGGGAGTGCCTGTCGCGGGCATGGTGCCGGCACTGGTGGCCGAGGAGGAGGAGGCCGAGGTGTCCATGGGAGAGGAGAGGGGGGGCAGCCGGTGAGGGTGGACGGGCGCGAGGGAGTCGTGGCGTGGGGAAGTGCTGTGTGAGCAGGAAGGGGTCACTGTGAGGGGTGGGGGGAGGTCGGGAAATTAGGATCTGATAGGCTGATACCATGTAGAGACACACCTCACACCCAATATGGGGGGGGTGACCTTCATATATATAGCCAATATGGCTGGGTATACAAGGAATACAATCAAGTATACATAGCAAGTGCTAATTATAAATAATCACACATAGACCTGCCTAATAGTTCCCTGAGCACATGCTCATATTCCAGACTCAACCAATGTAGGTGACGAGCAAGATTAGTTGTTGCGCATATTCCAGACTCATCAATGGCATCCCAATCGATCGGACTGCCATTGAGGTCCCAATCTGGCATTGGCTCTTGGTTGAGATCGAATCCTAATTGTGCCATGGATTGGAGAGGAGAGGTGAGCATAAGACTTGTGCATGGAAGATGGGAATATATAGAGAGCCATGGTGGATTCAAAATTTGGGGTCGCAAGAGTTTGCCCAGCGCGAGCGTTGGAATCTTTGGCGCTGTGTTTTTTATAACCGACGTTCCCGTGGAACCGAAATTGAGTCGTACGTGGGATATAGTAGAAGAACCAAACGATTTGCCGAAAATACGATCGCGAGACGGCACGGCGCGGGCGTCGTAGGAGAGCGAGCTAGAGCGCGCGCAAGCGTGGCAGGATTTCCTGGCATGTGGAGCGTCGTGGACGGTTGGGACATCGCGCATGCAGCATGCAAGATTAATTAGCGCGGCCAGGAGTTAATAAGATTTAGATGGAAGTGTGGATTCCTTGGTCTTGGTGAAAACTTCTTAGACGCCTCTCATATGAGAATGGAGGGAGTATTACAGACTAATGGTGTCAAGCTTTGCATTACTTAGTATCTAGTGACTTCTAGCAGACAACATGTACCCTATATTATTCTGTCTTGTCTAACTATGCAAACTGAAGTCAACGACAAAAGGAAATGTATATACTAAAACTGGAAAGTTTGTAGTATGCTATTCAATTGCAACTTTCTCAAAATATGAAGCATTCGTCCTTTTGCCTAATATATCGTTAACTGCATGTAAATCATGAATTTCCCTGAAGTAAAATTAAAATGGACATTTTGGGATGTGTGTACCTATTACTTTTAAAACATTATCTAGCTGTGTCTTTGTGCATGTAGATTGGACATACAAAGGTTCATAGGTAAGTTTCTCTCAAAGGATACTATAGTATTATAATATTGAAAGGTTAAGATACATTGTCATTCTTGACAATACCACCTCTTTGTCAGTGACTTATGGCAGTATTAATTGGTTCTGTAGAGAAGATATATGTGTTGTCGTTTACTTGCAAGTAGTGGCCAGAGAAGAAATGCTATACTGAACTCTGAATACCATTAGCTTTGGCCTGTTGTGGCTGAGAGCAATTTCTTCACTCAATGTTTCTGTAAATGTTTCTCACTTCGCAGTCACTTCTCAGTCATTGTATGCATAGATTGTATTTTTCGTTATATTTTCTTCTCTAACTTCTTAGAAATTCTGTTGAATTATGAGTGTCTTAAGTTTCAGAGCACGCCTAGCTCAGAACTCAATTTTTGCGTTCCTTCGATGTAGGAAGAGTCACAAGATTTCTACAAGAGACAACAGTTGAGGGAATTGGCTATGCTAAACTCAACTCTGAGAGAAGATAGCCCTCATCCTGGAAGCGTCTCCCCTTTCAGTAACGGTGGCATGAAACGCGCGAAACCAAGCCAGTAGAGAAGCTTTTGGTTCTCTACCCTTCAGTCGTTCATGGTGCAGCACCAGCAAGGTGCCCTTGAACTTGCGCTGTCCGTGTCGTGGGTGTTTGTGTAAGAAAACGTATGCATTTGCTGCTGGACAGGTAGGTAGTCTGGTACCAAGTGTGTCGTCCCCTTGAGATGAGGAGAAATCGATGGCTGTTGAACTGTCTCGATCTTCGGTGGTCCAGCCATGCTGTTGTAACTTGTAAGGTGATGGACATTCGTTTTATTCGTTATTGATTGTTAACCCTAAGTAGATCATGATGCTGAGGATAGGGGTTCCAGGGGAGACTAGTTAAGCCCTGATAATGTGAGCTGTTCGTTTAGGTGTTTAATTAGCTTGTATTATTCACGTTACATTGTGGAGTTGCAACATCACAGATGATGACGCACTTCGCTCTATGATAGTTTGATGACAACTTTGAATGAACCATGTGAATTCAGAATGTTAGTACTTCTGTGAATCGATGGGGCGTTTATATAATGTGTATTTTCAAAAGAACTGCCCGCTAAATTATATTTTAGTTACTCCCTCCGTACCTGAATATACTAATGTCTAGAGCTATTATAAGTCAAACTTTTTAAAATTTGATTGAATTTATAGAAAAGAGTCAAGATTTATGAC